CAAGAACTTTAAGAACTTTTGTTATTAATTTTTTTTTAATTCTGCATTTAATACAGTGTATTTTATATAACATATTGTATTTTGTATATATAATTATAATACGTTTACTTTATAATAGTGTAATATTTTTTAATAAAAATAATAGAAACTTTATTTTATTTTATTATTTAAAATAGTTTAAGTACTTTATCCAGAACATAATAATATGCTTTGGATAAACTACAAATAAAAAAATTTAATTAACAAAAAATCTTACTTCGATCGAATTAGTAGATACCTGTTCCGGAAAGTCCGAGTTCCAAGTTGAAACTTTGGCTAAGTTCTTTGCAATGTTTTATGCTTATTATAAATTTAGCATATTATAAAACACTGCATAAAAATGCTTTAGTATCACTATAAAACGACGATCAATGTAATTTGTCATTATATTTTCAGTTTGTGATTATGTTTCAATTCCAAACAAGTCGAATTTGGGACTGAAATATTTGTAAATCATATGTGAATTATTATTAAACACCAAAATCAGCTTCGACTGAAAATTAGGATTCTTTGAGAATAATGTTACCAATTAAAAATTATCAAAACGTAATTTTAAAAATAAGACTGTTACTGTTGTCGCTTTTATAAAAAGTAATACGTTATCGTTATCGTTATTAATTTTATTCTTTATTATTCATTACTAGTTTTAAAAAGCAACTTGTTATCGTTATTGTTAGGAAGTAACCGCAATAGCATCTAGTAACTACTACATCTGGTAACTACTAGCAATCAATCAATGACAAAATGCAACATAGATATGATCAGAATATGTATTTGGCATGACTGATTAATGTGATTTATTTAAGCATGAATTATAACCCACACAGTTCTCTAAGTGATGTTTGAGGATGCTTATAGGATATCCTAGGATATCCTAGGGATGTCTTCTGGACGTCTTTAGCACATCTCTTGGAGAATCGTAGGAAATTAAAATATTTCGAAATTAAAATACCCACCTATAATATATAACCTATATAACCTAAAAATAACAAAAAATAGATACAAAAAATATGTAGACATTTTTATGTGTGTGTGTGTGTGTGTGTGTGTATATATATATATATA